TGAAAATAAAGGCAAAACCTGCCTGCACCTGGCTGAGGGAAACAAACCATGCCTTGAATTATGATGAATGATGGGTTGACTTCTTTGGATTTGGACATAACAAGTATTACCCTCAGCTTCACATGGAAGGAAAAAAAAAAAACTTTTGCTGTCCTCACGATAGTGTCAAAGAACAGAGGAAAAAGAGAAACTGTGACACTGATATGAAACCCTAGTTTAGTATTACACCTGAAACAGGCCAATGCGGGATACAGAAGTCACTTTAAAGTCACCATTTTCAGTCAAATTAGGTCAACTCTATATGAAAAGGAACCAAAGCTGCATGAAAAGGTTTATTTGGTTGTCCTGCAGTTGGAAAGCTACCCCTGAAATGTAAAGAAGAAATACATGTGCTAAATGGCAAATACAAGTAAGGAGTCTCTGGGCTCAGAAAGGTATAATTAGAGAGCTATTTGGGGAATAAAATCTGCACTTCGATAAGGAAAAATGTGTCATCAGAAATCAGGCATCCACATTTCATGAACAAAAGTGTTTTCAGCTAGTACAAAACACTTTAACATGAGCCAAAAAGATGACATACTAAGTTTGGGGCATAACTGTACCACTTGTGAAACAAAACCTCCACAAGTTCTATTAAACCAGCCAAGGGCAAAAGCAAGACTTAGATTCATTCCCAAGTGAAAATTGGGCTTTCAGTCTGAAATAAGTGGACTTGTGCTGAACTCTCCAAAAGAGTCAAGTCACATATTTAATGGATTCAATGTGTTCCACATTCTCCTCTTTGCTACCTATTTCATTCAGATATGTGTCTTGGCATTCTTTCCAGTGCACTAGCCAATATGGAAAGAAAGCCATAGAAAGCAGTTTCAGGAGATAGTCAAGACAATTCATTGACAATAATCACCTTGTAACAACAGTTAGGGTCATCGTGTTAGTACATTTTGTTCTCAGATTTGGCTCTCTTTGTTGGTCAGCTTCCCAGACAGAGTATTGAACAAAACTTATTTACAGCCATGTTGCATCAAGCTGTTTCCTACAGCATGATGGGAATCATTTTCACTGTTCTTACATTAAAATAGTAACTGTTCAATGATTAGGATGTTTTTGATTAGACTTTTATTTCACAGTTGCCTTGCCTTATTCACAGTATTACATCTCTGGGTCCAGACAGCATCATCTTTCATTTTTAAGCTTCCTGTGTCTTTTTTTTTTTAACTTTATTTTTTTTCAAGAAAATTATCTGTTAGAGAGGAAAAGACTGACTATCTGCTTATTAGTCTTTAAACAGTAGCATTAATCAAATTGAATGAATACAGTACATTGAATGAATAAATAAAAGCCTTCATATGCTAGGACCTAATCAATTTCAAGGTCAACAACACCCTAAAAGCCTTGAAGGTATTTTGGGGACTGTTTGTATTATATTTCTATTATATCATATTATTGCAAGGGGAAGGTGATTGTATTTTATTTATTTTAAATGAAACTTCAAGGGCCAAAAGGATGTGTTTGACATCATGACAGGGTAGGGACAAAACTTTTAAAAGAACTTTTGGGGGCAAATTAAGATGGAAAATCACACCACTGAAAATCAGCAGCTCAGTGGATCATAGAATCAAGCAGCGTAACTGCACAGGGCCCATCTCTAGTGTATAGTTTCTATTGCTTTTACTAGAGCTATGGAACATCCCCCCCCCCCTCCCAAAGTCAAGTTAGCTCCATCCCTGTTGAAGTCCCTCAAGATCTGGTTATGTCACCAGGTTTGGGGATCTCAGGGAATCGGCAACATTTTAAGGTGGCTCCCCTATTGTGGTAGATGTAGTTGATATTCTTATTCTCTCCTTTTGTGGTTTGTATACTTTACTTTTTAATAGTATTTTAATTTTAATCATATTTTATAATGACTGTTTTTATAAAGACCGTTTTGATATTATTGTTTTATTTTATTGTTGTACATCTCCCAGAGTCACTTACGGTGAGATGGGCGGCTATATAAATTTGATAAATAAGTAAATAAAATTTTAAAATAAATAAATAAAATTTAAAAATAAATAAACATACTAGGGCCCTTCAAATTTTTGCAGTTTTTATACTTAAAAATCAAAGATTGGATGGTTGGAATCAGGTAACCAAAGCCCAGAGACTTTGTCCCTTTCTTGTAGACAAAATATGAAGTGGCATAGAACGGAAAGCCTTTTGTAATGATTTGAATAGTTCAATGTTAAATTCAATTGCAGCCATAAACACTTGATTTGTCAACTCATTTAAAGGAATAGGGAGAACATACTTAAATGATCGGATCACATTATAGCGTCAAAAAATATATCACAGACTTTCCCAGTTGGCTGGTTAATGTAGTTGCAAGGCACCAGGTGGAGAAAGCTGGCACACAGATAACTGCATAGTGCTCATTTATTGTATAGAATTCAGTCTTCCAACCAGTGTTGAAGACGGTCTCCTCCTTAACCTTACACTCATCTTTCTTTGTCTATTTCTTTTCCATTTTTGTTCTTAAAGAAAACAATTTCATGAAGTAGGTATGAGGAAGTAAGCATACCTTCTATCCTGTAATCACCAGGATGGGTTTTGTTTGTTTCAGGAAGAGAGCAGTGTAGAACTTCATATTCAAAATTTAGCAATTTTGCCTTAATAGAATAACACTTCTTTGCTTGCTGATGGCACCTTAGCAAAGTGCCTTACCATGATGACATCCAAACAACTGACAAAGGAAGTGGTTTTGCTGCCTTGATGTGTTTTGAGTAAGTGGAAACTGACAGTTGAAGTCCTTCCAAGTCATTTGATACTACTGTGAATCTGATTTTTAAAAATGATAAAGGACAGAGAAGAAAGAGATTCATGCTGTTTGAAACCTACACTGTGAATTGCTATGTATGAATACAGAAAGCCAAATGAAAAAAGATGATCTTTAAAATCTATCAGTTAATGTTCTTCTTATCTGCTTATGTAAATCCAACTCTTCTTCTAACAAATGGAACAGAGGTTTTTTAAACCAATAAGCTTTACGCATTAACCTAAGATGATACAGCACTCATCATGGGCATTACTATTAAATGAGTGAAACAGAGCACAGACTCCAGAGCACAGAATGTGTCCTTCCTTGATTTACTTTGGAAGAAGAGACAAGTGTGGGCACTATAGTTCATTTTCAGACATAAAGGTTATGCATAAATGATGCTGGCCAAATATTAGTCACTCCAACATGTTTTAAGCACTGCACTTTGATTTGCAGAAAGAAATCCCTGCATCCCCAGTATCTGTAGTTTAGGATCCCCCCAGTAGTTTAGGATCCCCCCAAGTTAAGCTCATAGTTCTCTGTATAACTGCTGATGTTTTCTACTCCTGAGCTTATTTTATTATTTCTTGCTACAGTATGTAAAGACTGAGTATGCTAGTTTTCTAATTGATTTCCCTTACTTTACCATTCCAGAGTGAATACATATTCTCTGTTAATTCCTACTGATGGTCATTATCATTATTCCAGGCTCCCTTTATGAAATTCAAGACATTGGCTATAGATGACCTTACAACAAACCACAGTCCCATGCACAGGAATCAGATAGTAGACATTATGAAATGTTCCTGCTTATACAAATCTTTCCCATCTTGACAGCGGAACTTTACTGTGCTAGGTGCAGCCTATTTCTCAAAATAATTCCTTATTACAGGCATTTTTATATATGCTAAGGAGGAAGGAAACCTGCAGCATGGCACAGAGATGCGGAAGAACTGGGTCTTCTCCCAGGCATTGGGTTAGGATGGGGGTTGAGTTGGGAAGCTGTTTGGTCTGGCACCTTGGGAAAGGGTAGTTTTGCTTTTATTGATTGTTGTGAGGCACCTAGAATTAATATATGAGATAGGCGGCCATATAAGTATGTAAATAAATTACAAACATAGCAATGATGCCCAGCAGTACCTGTGAAAATCCAAGGTGCTGGCAATACATAAAGCGCAAATTGAATTCTAACCAATAACTGATGCTTGGAGTTGCTATTCCTATTGTCAATATCATTGTGTGCTGTGGTTTTTGTTCTTAGCTTGAATCAAATATATTGATCCCAGTTTCAATGTTGGCTTACTAGCAATTTATATCTGGCTATATCCATGGAAATAGGAGCTCTATGCAATTCTTTTTCTCAGCAAGGGGTTTTTGGAAATGGTGTAGGAGTAAATACTGGAAGGAGAAGGAGGGCAGCAAGGAAGAATTAACTGAATTCAACTACACTGGACATTTTGGATCTACACTATTGACTGAACTAAATAAAGTGTGTTGCATTCCATGCTGTGGAAGAATTTTATTTGTATACAACAAAAAAGGATTCAATTTAGCTAGACAGAATGGTTACCTGCCACACATTCCTATATGTCTTGAAACCTTGATTAATATTTATCCATTTGCTTACTCAAAAGCAGGGATTCAATTCACAAAAGGAGCATCATATATTAAGTGCTGTAGTCTCCTGAGTCACTCCTTTCAATATTCAGCCCTAGTTCATGCACTTAGTCAGGGATGTGCTAAAAAAGGTTGGTGAAGAAGCAACACAAATTTTCTTTGCTGAGCAGATGGCCTTCCTTACAAGCTGAACCCTCTCTTGTCTTCCCTGTTCAGATAATTGATGGCCTAGGAATGGGATGCAGGGACCACTAGACAAAGTCTTAATAAAAGCCATCAGTGTACTGAAGGAAGGAGGCTAGAAAGTTCTCATTGCCACCCTAGACTGCAGCAAAGGTCCCACAACTTCCGTTTGTGGTGCTTACTACTGATCTATCATTGCTTCATCATCAAGTTCTAAATGCCTGAGGTCAGAGATGCTGATAAGGATGACAGACTAAAGCTGTGTTCACACAACTCGCTTATCTTTCATTAAATGAACTGCTGCTGCTGCTGCTGCTGCTTCTTCATCATCACCATTATCATCATTATCATCATCACCATCATCACTTTTTCCTGGTTTGCACAACCACGGGAGCCATAGCCTAACTACGTGGGGAAGGTTTGCACAATATTTTCAGCTAATATGTGATTGACTAGTTATTAAAATTACAGAGTCTTGGCCCTTTTTCAAATTGACCTTTGAAAACTGAGTTGATACAACCATAAATAATAATAATAACCATAATAATAACTACTACCCCTGCTACTATTACAGGTGAAGATGTTCAAGACAGCTAATTTTAAATTTACATGCTTTAAATGTCATTAGTTTTTCACTAGAGCTAAAAAGGACTGATTATTTTTCCAAGTACTGAATTTAACTGGATTATATAATTTAGGTTTTACAAAAGTCAAAGCAGTGATACACAATACAAAGTACCCCATTGTTTCCTTGAATAAAATATATTTTTCTTCATGCTTTAATATATATCTTAACAAATATTATGGTGTATAACATTTTGAAAGGTCCAGTCCACTATTATGGACACAAGTTTCTCAAGGCTCCTATGGTGACACTCTTCCCTTCCTGTTCTCTAGGAGCAAGGCATAAAGATCCAGACTACCCAGGATGAGGCTAGGTTTGAATGGCTCTAGGTTCTCCATGTTATCTCAGCCATGAGAATAAAGTGGAGCTGGGGAAGATCTTGTGTGGATTGAAAAACTCAGATAATGGGCCTGAGATGCTTCCCAGAATAAGAGACCCTTTACTCACAGACTGACACTTGCCCCTGTATTTGATGCACCTAACTTGAAAGAGAACTTGTTTCTGGTGTTGCAGGGTAGAATGTTAGAAAATATCATTGCTGGGCTCACAAAATAAACCCCACCCAACAATGGTTTTGAAATAACCTCTGCTACTGAGTCCATTTTCAAGTCTACCTTCTACTGATCTATCTGTGGGAAAGCCACCCTGGAACACTGAGCTATGGTCATGTCCCGTCTGAATGAAGTGATTCTCCATCTCTGATTTATGGAGATCTACCACAAAAATCAGCTCCCTGACTTTCAGCAACTCTCTAGAATTTCAACATGGCAGTGCTGGAGAATGAAACTCGGATCCTTTGCAGACACTGAGCTGGGTTTCAAAACAAAATGTTCAACATACAGCTGTGTTCTTTTCCTGCTTTCTCAGATGCAAATCCTCTTAACGCTGCTACCAGATTGGCATGGAATGTAATTACACCACCACTAGAAAATGCACAAACAATATCAGCCAATAAGGAGAATTTGTAGAAGGTAGACTAACTCTTCTAAATAACTGCCACTTAAGTAGAGTCAAATCTACTAGAAACAGTAGACTGCAGTTGTTTTTTTAAAGAAGTCTCTGTACCAATACACATAACTTGTTTCTAAAAAAAAAAGTTTATTATTTCCTGCCTATATGGTTAAGCTGAAACTTCAGAAAAAGTTAGCCAACTCTTCCATTTCATTTTGATAGCTTAAATTTGAAAGCTAATGTCAATTGAATGATTTCCACAAAAAGGTCTTTGGGAGGCTCAAAGAACAGCTCAAACTGAAGAGTGTTTGGAAACAACCTTATTTCTAAATATGCATATTTGAACTTTATCAATCACCACAAAACACTTCTCCCAGTCTTTCTGAAGCCTTCTGGACTACAATCCCAGAAGTCTCAGCTACCAATGGCCATTCTGAAAGGAAATTCTGAGAATTTTAATTCAATGCATCTGGAAGGTGCCCAGTTAGGAAAACCTGCTCGCTTCTGTTTTTAAAGAAGTGTTTTTCAGCCATTTTGGCATTTTTACCTACCCTCTGGAGAAAGACATGCTTAGAGAAGAGGCTGCAGGATACATACCCACTCCAGTCGTCTTTTCACTTTTCTGCCAACGAGTCATTCCTAATGAGTCCAGCTGGAAGCTGTGATTCAGAATGGCTAGCTGGAATGGAGCGTTCCCAGATTAAAACAAATGAATCACAAGGCAACTTTGGCTGCTGCAACGGCAGGTTCGGGCTGTGTCCTTCTCACTGTTCCTCTTCTTCCTTCCTCTTTTTGTCTGCGCACTCTCCTCAAAGGTTCTTACACTAAATGAAAGTGATACTTAGATGTGCATGCCTTGCTTGAGAAAAGAATGACGGGGGCACCAGAAAAGTCTGTCCAAGTCATGTTCCAGACTAAGCCAATCATGCAGCTTTATAGCCAGTACAAAGCCTATCAGAGATACATTCTACAATTAATCATTTGTGGGCATCACAATAATTCTATCTGGAAATGGCAACTCTGTCAGATCATGCTATGACAGTCAACTTCTGCTTTAAATAACTTACATGAGTATCTAATAATCTAGAGACTGTGATGTAAGCCAGCAGCTCACACAAGAAGATGCTTCCTCTGCCATGGAAACTATACAGCTTCACCTAAATCTTCCAAACACTGCTCCATTATATAGACAACTTTCAAATGCTATGGAAGAATTATGCATGGATTGCTTTAAGTGGTTGCAATAGTGACTTAGCTTTCTACCAGCATACCTTAACTGATATAATCAATAGGTATCATGGATTACTGCACAAATTCAGCCCACCATCTATATCTTCCCTCAGAAACAGAGCTGATGTTATAATTAAAGAGAGCAACGAAGGAGAAGCTGTGTTGCCACAATCAGATTGGACTTCATATAACTCAGGACTGTCGTGAAATTAACATTCCTTTTGATAGATAGCAGAGTCTTGCCACATGCTAAGCCATGGCTTTGGATAATGCATGTACTGACATTATAGGTTAAGATACTTAAATCCAGTTTGTACCCATGGTTTGTTTCAAGTAAATTCATTACCATGGTAAATGCATCATCTGAATCTGGCTTTAAGGGTTATTTTTCCATGCCCTTCAAAACAAAAAGGCTAAAGTGCAATTAGTTACTTTGTGGTTCATATTTTGTGAACCCAACCAGAATAGTTAAGATGATAGTTCAAAGTGTTGTGCAAATGAAGGCAACTGAGTAAACCATGGTTAAGGGAACCATGGGTGTCTTGTGAAATACGGCTAACATCTCTTTAAATCTGTTTATCTTACAATACAGAGCATAGATTCCTTGTTTACTTGGGTTTCCAAAACAGCACACTGGCATTTCCTCAAAATCTAACTTAAGATATTAACATGTCACATGAATATTAGAAACATTAACAGTGTCGGAGCACTGCTTTTAGAAAACTTGTGATATCTTCCATTTAATTGACCAGAATATCAGATACTCTCTATTTCCTAATTGGTCAACAATCATATATCAAGTCAACACCTCTTTTACTTCATATGATTCTTTGGCAAGGCAATACTAGTCATTTCTATCCTACTTCTCACATTCAGTTGGTGATTGCTAACATTAACGGACTTTTCCTTTTCCATACACTTTCCTTTTTTGGATTATTGTCCCTTGGCTGCCAATCACCATTAGCCAGAATAAACAGCATTAAACATAGCATAATCCCCTGTATGATTTGTTTCTTACCTTTCCATTATTTCAAGAAACTAGAGTCCAATAGAGTAAGCTTGATGTCAAGGCTTATTATATATATATCAAATGGGCAATCCAGTAGTCTGGTTTAGCATTTTATTTTGGTTTTCTACTACAATTCATTGCCATTCCCTTGCTTTCCCTTTTTATATTTTTCCCAAACTATACTTTTAAGTAATTAAATTCCAGGGGTGATCTGGATTCCCAGGGCACTCAAAGGCTGGTCAATTGGATTTACACTACTAGTTTTAGGTTAACAGGATATATGGAAAGGGGCAATAGATTGCATTGAACTTGCAGGAGATCTGGACCTGAGAATTCAGTGGGAATTCTGTTCCTTCCATCTCAGGTAAGAAGTATGTGGGAGAAGAGAAAGTACAAAGGGTATATTACCAGTAGGAATTCCTGGAGGGCTGGCACTGGGGCAGAGGTCCTGCTGATCATGGAAGAAGGTGTAGCCCCACTACCACCCAGATTCCAATGTATATCAAGGATGTTTATTTTGAATATTTTCTTACACTTCCCTAAATTTAATCGAGTGAGGTTGGTTACCACTCTGAGGTTAATACTACTACCCTCAGAGGATGAATGCATAGTCAAGTAGAGACAAAAGGAGGCCACTGAAGAGGGAGATTATCAGCATCCTTAGGGAAATACAATCAGTGAGATTTCGCTTGCTCACGTCATGGAATAAGGTCAACCTCAAACAAAATAAACTACAACAGAAAATGAAACACTCTTTGACTTTTCTATTCATAATATCCTGAGGATATAAGATAAAATCATGGAATCCTAGTGTTGGAAGGACTATTTAGGCCATTCCCGCTCAGTGCAGGAACCCAAATTAAAACATATATGGCTTAAATTAAATCAATGAAGTATGTGCTTGAATACATTCAATAAAGAAGTGCAACATCTCTGGGCAATTGGTTCTACTGTAGAACTGCTCTTGTTTTTAGGAAGTTTTTATTAACGTTCAACTGGAATCTATTTTCCTGTTAGTCTGTGCTTTGCACTCTGGAACAGAAAGGTCTTCTATGTGATATACTTTCAGATGTTTCACATACTGCAGCTTAAGTAACTTTCTGATATGCTACTGTTGTATGTAGAGTAAGGAAGATGATCTTGGCAAAGATAAGCAGTAGCTGTTGCCTGGACAAAAGGGTCTAAAGTATTTTTAAGGTCTAGAAGAACCAGATAACATGTGGAAGCAGCTCAAGCAGACAACTCCCTAATTCACTGAACTATGAGGAGGAGCTACAGCACAATCAGAGTTGCACAATTCTATTATTACAGCCAATCAATAAAAACAGTTTTAGCCTTCCCTTGGAGTTGATTTCATGGTCTGGTCTACCTAGTGGGGCTGTCAGTGTGCTATTTCAATTTTTTGCAGCAAATAGATTACAGCTCATTTCTCATTGGTTTACCATATATGCATACACATCCATTCCCTTTCAGGTAAGCAATCTTCTGCAAACAGAAGTACACACACATTCTCATACCCAAGAAACACACCTCTAATGTCACCACAAACATTCCTTATACTGTACATTTATTCATCATCGATTTTCCATATATACCAAAGGAAGCCTGGAAGGGGGAAAAAAAAGTCAAGGATAGGGCCTTTTCTTCTCAGTCAAAACTTATTTCCTTGACCCAGGATCAAGGGTTTAACTTAAATATAACCAGTATATATTTGAAAGAGCAGTGTTTATTTTAAAAATTGCCCAGAATATGAATGGGCAAGAAAAATAAACTTGCCATAAAATTTATTTATTCATTTATTTATAAATCAAATTTATATCACCGCCCAACTCCCCCACAATTAGCTGATTGAAGACAAAACTTGCTCAGAATGCATCAGGATAGAATACTGACTGCTGAAAGGGAACAGAAAACAGAATATCCTGAATGAAAACACCACCACTTGGTAAGTTTTGTGAACTCTGCATTTTGTTTCAGATTCCATCTCTTTCAAAGGAATACAATCTTTGATTGTACTTGGCAAATTTTTGGTTAGAGGGAAAAAACACACTTTAATTATACATACTGTATTCCTAGTACTTCACTGCCTAACTTACAATTTGTGATTGTGACGACAGAATAGGATTGGTTTGGATTCTCACCTTAATTCCAAATTCAAGCAATTCCAAGTTTCCCATTAAATTATGCATACCTACTATTCTGTAATCATCATAGCTCATGCTTGATTTATACACTAGATCTCACATTTTTTGTAGAATGTTCTTTTAGAGGTTTAATGTTATTGCACTGTACAGTATTCTGCTCACGCTGTTGTTTTTCTTTTATACTATTACAGATGGACTACAATCTAATTTATCTAAACAGGTAAAATTCTCAGTAATGCAATGCTTTGAAATCAATATTCTACCCAAAAGATTTGGACATTCAATCAAATATCAAAAATGCCAGATGGTGGTGTGACTAGGTGCAATAAAATCCGATCTCTATACGTGCACCATTGTTTCCATGACATGGATATCCCTGATTATACTCTAACATCGTAATGGAGTACCTTTGCCTTATAGAGATGATACATTTTGCCTCCATAAAGCATAGTCGTATGGCTACTCCCACCTTGATTGGGTATCTCAATTTGGTAAGAGCAGTGTATACAAAAACCACATAAAAACTTGGAAGGATATCACAGCTCTCCAGACACCCAGTCCCTTATTCAGCACCTGGCATTACTTGACATAAAAATTACCTGAGACAACTAAGTTAGAATCTCTAGGCTTTTTCCTCCTGCACTTCCAAGTTAACAGATGCTTGGCTGGTCTCTTAATGTCCCCAAGAGACAACTAGGTTATGTTTATATAATTCTCTCTAGCCTGGGAACTTGTTGGTTCTTGCCCTGCCAGTCTTAGCCCTTGAATTTTATCTGCATAAGGCAGAGCAGATACTCCACTTAGACTTTAGAAAGAGCACGGCTTTGCAGCATCACTTCCACAAACTTTCATTCAAAGTGAATTATGTCTTCAAACATTTATACCATTGTTTCTCAAGCTTGGCAACTTTGAGATGTGTGGACTTCAGCTTCCAGAATTCCTCAGCCAGCCTTGCTGGCTGGGGAATTCTAGGAATTGAAGTCCACAGATCTCAAAGTCGTCAAGCTTGAGAAATGCTGATTTATACAGTTCAAATAGTTGTCAAATTAAGAACGTTTCAACTTGAGATAATGGTGTATGGATACTCTTTTTAGCAGTAAACTACAATTTTGCTAAGAGAGAAACCACCAGAAGGATGTAATGCATTTCACCTCTGATTTCTTCAATATTTATTAAGTATTACATTTGAGTAAAGTAATTTGAAAATTTTATTTAACTTGAAATGTTGATAAAATTTGAAATAATACATTCAAGAAAAGCGAAAATACTGTTAAGTTACATTTCCATTACTACATATTACAACCATTTATTTATGTCTAGCCTTACATGTTCACTTGGGTATCACACGGACAAGAGTGGACTGTATATTAGCATGAATATACTGCTGGTAGGCATACTGTTTTTTCTTACAG